CCGCCGCGGCAGGGTTCGGAGAGGCCCCGACGCCGAACGTGGCCCCAGGACAGCCCGAAAAGCACCCATGACGCTTCAGGACCTCCTCCTCCTCCGCCGCCTCCTCCTCCTCCTCCTCCTCCTCCTCCTCCTCCTCCTCCGCCTCCTCCTCCTCCTCCTCCTCCTCCTCCTCCTCCACCATCTATTCCTCCTCCTCCTCTCACTGAGCGCATGTGGTGGCCGACTCGACTGCTGTTTTACAGTTGTTTCGATGCTTTTGCGTCCTCACCTCCTCCGCCTTCCGCCGCCCAAGACGCCCTCTGGGGCCTCCCAGATCGTGCCGAGGCGGCCCCAGAGGCTCCCAAGAGCGCTCCTCGATGGCCCCAGAAAGCCCCCAAACGGTTCCCAGACGGCCCCAAGACGATCCCGGAGGGCCCCAAGAGAAGTCCCAGAGATGCCCAAAGGGTCCCAGAGGCCCCCAGGCGCCCCGAGAAGGTGTCGGGCCGGCCCCGCAAGGCCCCCAACGAGGGCCCCAAGACGGCCACAGAGGGCCCCAAGACAGCTCAAAAGGGCCCGAAGGCGGGCCAAAGAGGGACCCCGAAGCCCCCCCAGAGTCCGAATTCTTTAATGCTCCTAATATATATATATATATATATATATATACATATACATATACATATACATATATATACATATACATATTATATATATATATATATATATATATATATATATATATATCAATGTTTTTCGTGTTCTACCCTTTTCGGGCTTCAGCCGCCCAAGACGGCTTGAGGGGCCTCACAGGTTGTGCCAGGGCGGCCCCAGAGGCTCCCAAGAGCGCCCCAACACGGCCCAAGAAAACCCCACGACCGCTCCAAGACGGCCCCAGGACGATCTCGGAGAGCCCTAAGAGAAGCCCCGGAGAGGCCCAAAATGTTTCAGAGGACCCGCCGGAAGTCCTAGGGTAGGCCCGGGCGGGCCTTCAGAACCGCCTTGGTAGCTTCCGGAGAGGCCCCGATGGCGCAGGAAACGGCGCAAGATTGCCGAACATGGTCCCCAGACAGCCCAAGAGGCACCCATGACGCCCCAGGACCGCCCCAAGAGACTCCCAGGGAACGCTTCCGGAGGCCGATTTTATTTAATTGTTGTGTTCTTTATATATGTCTTCCATGTTCTCACCTTTTCCGCCTTCAGCCGCCCAAGATGCACTCAGGGGCCTCCCAGATCGTGCCAGGGCGGCTACAGAGGCTCCCAAGAGCGCCCCACGATGGCCCAAAAAAAACCATAACAGTGTCAAGACGGCCCCAAGACGATCCCGGAGGGCCAAAGGGTCCCAGAGGCCCCGCCAGAAACCCCAGGGTATGCCCAAATCGGGGCTCAAGAGACGGGGGTCAATTCAAACGAGGGTCAGCCAGAGCGCGGGATCTTGCAGGATCTTGCAGGGCCAGGGTCGCATTGACCCGGGTTTGGGTGCAGGTTCCTGCAGGATCCTGCAGGATCTTGAAGGGCCAGGGTCGCATTGACCCGGGTTTGCTGACCCGGGTTTGGATTGGCCCGGGTCAGACGATCCCCGACCAAGCAGGCCCCAAGAGGCCCCAGAAGGGTTTTCAGAGCGGCTTCAAGTGGATTCCAAGAGAGCCCGCAAGCAAGTGGAGTGACGCCACTTGCTTATGGATTCTCTCTGGGCCCGCTCGGGGCACTTGGGGCGCTCTCCGAGCGCTCCCAGAGGCCGCCTCAGTCCCGACTGAAGCCGCAGGGTAGGCAGGAGCGGGCCCCACGAGACCACAGCGAGGTTTCGAAGACGCTTCAAGTGGATTCCAAGAGAGCCCGCAAGCAAGTGAAGTGACGCCACTTACTTGTGGATTCTCTCTGGACCTACTTTGGGCCTTTGGGGCGCTCTCCCGGGCGTCGCCGCAGTCCTGCTTGAAGCCCCTGGGGAGGCAGGAGCGGGCCCCACGAGACCACCACGAGGCTTCCAAGACAGGCTGAAGTGCATTCCGAGCGAGCCCCAAAGCAAGGGGAGTGCCTCCTGCTCCTCCTCCTCCTCCTCCTCCTCCTCCTCCTCCTCCTCCTCCTCCTCCTCCTCCTCCACTTCCTTTTGGGCCCACTTGGGGTGCACTTGGGGCCCTGTTGGAGCCTCCCAGGAGCTCGCCTGACCTGTCTGAAGCCCCGGGGTGGTCCCTGAGCTCATCGTCCGCTTTCGATCATACATGCGACCGAACATACAGTCTCACGAAATATTAGATGCGGCCGACGTCATCGTTGTTCGTCCACACTCGAAGAGTAATGCGACCAGAAGATATGGTGCCTTATGTGTTGCAGACACGCCCTACAAGCACTGTCCCCCTCAGCGTCGATAGCGGTGATCACACCACAGGTACACACTAGTCTTTCCTACATGGCCAGTGGATCTGCGTGCGAGAATGGTTCACGCCTCGTGTGCACAAAATCGCTCCTTTACGGCGACACCACGGGGCCGAATCGCTCAGGCCGGTCCCAGAGGCGCTCCAGAGGGGTCCCAGACTCGAGCTCCGCGCGGGGCGCGCTGGATAGCGCGCAGGCTAGGCTCCCAGGCAAGCAGGCGGCAAGAAGTCGCAGTCACGCTGGTCGCTCACGATGGGGGAGGCGCCGAACGAGTCCGACACGTAAGGGAGGGGCTGCGACTTCGAGGGGCTGAATCCCTCCGCCCGCCCGCCTGGAGAGGGGCACCCCGAGGGCTCGGCCGGAGGAAACGACGCGGAGCGGGCCGCCGAGGCACGGACGCAGAGGGTGCCCCGAGGAAAGCCGCGAGTCCTCACCGTGGGCTGTCTGCATATCTCCACGCCCTCTCGGTCCGGATGCCTGGGCGCGGGATCCCGGGGATACGCTGAAGTCGGGATTGTCCCTCCGGCCCGCGACCAGAGACCATTGCTCTTCGGTCCTGCAGGGTCGTCAGAGGGATTCCCCCTCCCCCTTCGCCCCCCCTCACCCCACCTCCTCGCCCGGGCCACCCTCCCGGGCCACCCACCCTCCCGGGCCACACTCCCGGGCCACCCTCCCGGACCCACCCTCCCGGGCCACCCTCCCGGGCCCCATCCTCGGGGACCCTCCCCGGCCACCCTCCCGGGCCACCCTCCCGGGCCACCCTCCCGGGCCACCCTCCCTCCCGGGCCACCCTCCCTCCCGGGCCACCCTCCCTCCCGGGCCACCCTCCCGGGCCACAGTGGGTCCCGAGACGGCCCACCAGGGCCCGAAGCCTTCCAGGGGGGGGGGGCTCCGCGACGATCCAAGTGGCCGCAGAGACGCCCCAAGAGGGCCCCGAGCGCGAGCCGACGGGGCACAGATCGTCCAATTCCGATGGGAAAACGTATATTTTCAGCATGCCCGCCTTGTGTGCTCCTCAGCGGCCCAGGACACGCCAAGAGGCCTCCCAAAACGCCCCAAGAAGACGCCCGCGGCCCCTACGAGGGCTCCAAGACGGCCGACAAGAGCCCCAAGACGACGCCAGAGAGCCCTGAAACGGCTTCACAGAACCCCAAGACGGCCCCAAGAGAGCTCCGAGGGGGCCCCAAGAGGCTCCCAAGACGGCCTCAGGCAGCCTCAAGAGAGCTCCAACACGGTCCAAGGCCTCCCGGACGCCACGTGACGGCCCAAAAAGACCCCCAAACGTCCCAAAACGCTCCCAGAGCAGCCCCAAAAAGCTTCTGAATGGCCCGAACAAGACCCCCACAAGGACCACCAAGCAGGCCCAGAGACGCCCACTAAAAGAGCGATCGGTGAAGTACAAAGCTCTTCTGACCAAGGCTCCCAAGAGCGAGACGCAGCGTAGAGAGCTCTCCCAGGCACAGCTCCCAAGAGCGAGCGGTGACGTCGGGACACCCTTCCGACCTCTCACACAGGAGCACGCACGCACAGCACGCAAGCACAATAGATTTCCTGGGTTGTCCCTCGGAAGAGTCTCGGGGGGACAGCCCGGGAACGGCCCCAGAGGCGCCCCAAAAAACTTGAAGAGAAAAGGCCCCTAGGAGACCGCAAGACGGCCCAAGAGGGCCCCAAGAGCGCCGAGGAGACCGCAAGACAGCCAACGAGGCCCCAACAGGCCCCCAGGAGCTCGGAAAGAAACCCCGAGAGGCCCTCTAACCGGAGACAGCAGCGCCCGCCATCAGGCTTCGAAGAGGTAACCGGAAAAAAGTCACCAGAGCCCTCCGGGTGACTTTTTTCAAGGCCCCAGGTGCTTTCAAAATTGACAAGCGGCGAGACGTACACCGCAGACCCACCATAGCCGTCTGTGACGCTCCGAAGGCTGTCTAGGCAGAGGTAGAGCGGAAGGCGGACGAAGAGAAGGAAGCGGTCCAAGAGGGCCTCCGAGACGGCCCAAGACCGCTCGAAGACGCTCCAGACGAGCCGCGGCAAACGAAATCATTAATTCTTCCATGGTTTCTGAAAGATTTCCACCTTCTCGCCATTTCGAGCGAAGACAGGCCCAAGACGGCTTTTCGAGCCAAGACTGGCCACAGATGACGTGGACGAAGTCCACGGGTTCGCCCTAGTCAGCTACAGCGCTGGGATCAGCGCGTGCGAGAAGGGCGAGCAGTGGCAGCGGGCTCTTGCGCTGCTGAGCGAGATGCGGGAGGCGAAGCTAGAGCCCGACGTCATCAGCTACAACGCTGGGATCAGCGTGTGCGAGAAAGGCGGGCAGTGGCAGCGGGCGCTTGCGCTGCTGAGCGAGATGCGGGAGGCGAGGCTGGAGCCCGACGTCATCAGCTACAACGCTGGGACCAGCGCGTGCGAGAAAGGCGGGCAGTGGCAGTGGGCGCTTGCGCTGCTGAGCGAGATGTGGGAGGCGAAGGTGGAGCCCAACGTCATCAGCTACAGCGCTGGGATCAGTGCGTGCGAGAAGGGCGAGCAGTGGCAGCGGGCGCTGGCGCTGCTGAGCGAGATGTAGGAGGCGAAGCTGGAACCCGACGTCCTCAGCTACAGCGCTGGATCAGCGCGTGCGGGAAGGGCGGACAGTGGCAGCGGGCGCTTTAGCTGCTGAGCGAGATGCGGGAGGCGAAGCCAGAGCCCAACGCAGCCAGCTACAGCCCTGCGATCGTCGCCCTGCTCCGCAGAAGCGATGTGACAGGCTGATGAAGCCGCTTCAACGCTGGCAGCGGGCTCTGGCGCTGTTCAGCGAGATGTTCGAGCCGAAGCTGGTGCCCGACGTCACCAGCTACAACGCTGGGTTCAGCACGTGCGCGCAGGACGAGCAGTGGCAGAAGGCCCTGGCGCGGCCGAGTGAGATGCGGGAGGCGAGGCCACAGCCCGACGCAGCCAGCTACAGCCCTGCGATCGTCGTTCTGCTGCGGAGAGACGATACGACAGGCCAGTCAGCCACACCGCTGAGGAACAGCGCTCGAGTGAAAGGTGGTCAGTGGCTGCGGGCCCTGGCGTTGTTGGACGAGATGTGGGAGCCGATGTTGGATTTCGGACGTTATCCTAACTTTAGCGGTGTGATCACTGGGTGCAAGAAAAGACGGGAAGTGGCGGCCAACGCAGACGCAGAGCCTTCCAAGACACCTCACTCCCCGACGCCAAGGTAGGTCTGGAAGCGCCATGCCGCGGCATCCCCCCCAACGAAATTGTTGGGGACCCCCACTCTAGCCCCCGAAACCTCCCCGAGACACCCAAGAGGACCAGAACAACCACAGGGGGAATCGAACAACCCACCAAACAGGCCCTTCGAGACGTCTCGGAGCTCCCCCTGACGTCCCACAAATCTGTCCGCCAGCGACACGCCGATGCAACCTCTCTCGCCAACATGTTTCATGGCCCCCCTGATAGCCCCTGGAGTGTCCCCGACACCCTCCCGATGCTTCCCGCAAGCTCCCACGAGAACCGACAAAAATCCCGAGAACCACCGAAGAAGTCCCCGAAAACGTCCCTAGAGGCCCGCAAACACCCAGAACCCGAAAACGTCCCTAGAGGCCCGCAAACACCCAGAATCGGAAGAGGCGATGCCCGGCCAGAAGACCGGCCCGAAGGAAATTCTAGACGCTTCGCGTAACCCCACCAGGGCGCGTTAGGTAATTTAGTCGCGTCCGCGGCCCGTTCGCGACCTTCCGCCGCTGGCGTTTCCGCCTGCGGCTGTAAAAAAAAGTAACCCCACCAGGCCCCATGCTCGATACGACCCGCTCTCTGGAATCGTCCTTGGAGCCGCAGATCAAAAAGTAACCCCACCAGACCGTGTTCGCAAATTCGCACCGTTCCGCCGCCCCGGACGTCGCTCCCGCTCCATGGCCGTCGCCTTGGAGCCGATAACCAAAAAAGTAACCCCACCAGATTTTGTTTTGTGCACGTGCAACTGCGAGTTTGTCTTGCAGGTGCGAGCTTTGTCAGCCTTTGGCGGCTAGGTTTGCAAATTTGCCCCGTACCGTGACCCGGACGCCGCTTCCGCTCCCTGTCCGTTGCCTCGGAGCCGCCGACCAAAAAGGCAACCCCACCAGAGTACGTCGGCTTCTTGCTCGTCGCCATCTTGGCGCTGCACATCGACCAGCGGCTCTTCCTGGTCCTCCGCGTTTCCTGAGCCGCAGCGTAGCCCGCTCTTGTGCGGAATTTACGCCGTTGCTCGTTAGCCGCGTTTCTGGACGGCGCCTGGGACCCGTGCGCGCTCGCGAACCAAGAAGTACCCCCACCAACCCATCCCTCGATCAGTTAAGTGGGCAGCACACAAAAGAAGGTCTCCCAGTGAAGGCCTCAGCGTTTTGGGGGCCTCTTGGCGGTCCCGGACGCCTCTTAGAGCGTCTCGGGTACCTCGAAGAGCTTTTTGGGGCCTCTTGGGGGTTTCTTGGGAGCCTCTTGGAGACCTCTTGGGCGTGTGTTGGGGCCTCCAGGGCGCCTCTTGGGGCCCTGTTGAAGCGCTTTTGCGAGCCTTGGGAGCGCTTTGGGAGCCATCTTGAAGCCGCGGATGGCCATCGGAAGCGAAAGGGCGAGAAAGCCAAACACATTGATTTGCCGGAGGTTTTGCAAGGATTTTGGCCTCTTCCGGGCCTCCTTGGGGGAGCTCTTCGGCCACTTGGGGCAGTCTTGGAGCGGTCTTGGGGCCTCTTGGAGCAGTGTGGGGGCCATCTCGAGGCATTTTGGGATATCTTCAGCCATCTTGGAGGTCATACTGGGCTCCCCCAGGCGCTCGTGGAGTTTTCTGAAGCAGTGCCCTCCCCCACGAGGCCAAAATGTGGCCAAGACCTGGGTCAAATCAATGAGTTTGGCATTATCGCCGAGGCCTCCTGGAGCGTCTTAGGTACCTTTGGGGGGCCTCTTGAGGCCTCTGGGGGGTCAGTTGGGAGCCTTTTGGGGGCATCCTGGGGGCCTCTTGGGGCCTCCTGGCCACCTCTTGGGGCACCCGTGGGAGCCTTGGGAGCGCTCTTGGAGCCATCTCGGAGGAGATCGATCAAAGAAGGGGGGTCCCTCAGTTACCGCTGCCCCCCCAAGAAGCCCAAATGGGGTCAAAACCCTGGCGAAGCCAATGATTTTGGTTTCCTCGCCGAGGCCGTTTTGGAAGTTCCGGCGACCCGCGGAACGCCCCCTCCAGGTCCAGGGGAGGGGGTAGGGCGAGGGGTAAGCCCTTCCCCGAAGGGGAAGAAGGGGGTGGAAGAGGAAAACATTCTAAACCACCTACGCCCTAAAGGGTTGATGGGGTTGTATGTAGCACCCCGCAATTGCGGATAAGAGTGAAGGGGCGGGCGCGGGCGACGCGGGCGTCGTCGAGCCGGCGGACCTCGTGGCCCCCAGTTTCCCTGTCGATGGCGCTCCCCTCCTCCTCCTCCTCCTCCTTCTCCTCCTCCTCCTCCTCCTCCTTCTCCTCCTCCTCCTCCTCCTCCTCCTCCTCCTCCTCCTCTTCCTCGTCCTCGTCCTCGTCCTCATCGTCATCGTCGTCCTCCTCCTCCACCTCGTCCGCCTGTTTTTCCTCGTTCTCCCTCTCCCCCCCTCGTCCTTCCATCATCGTCCTCCCATTGTCATCCTCCACCTCATCGGCCTCCATCATCGTCCTCCCATTGTCGTCCATCATCATCATCATCATCATCATCATCATCATCATCATCATCATCATCATCATCATCATCATCATCATCATCATCATCATCATCATCATCATCATCATCATCATCATCATCATCATCATCATCCCCCTCCTCCCCCTCCTCCTCCTCCTCCTCCCCCTCCTCCCCCTCCTCCCCCTTCTCCTGTTCCTTCTCCTCCTCTTTCCCCACATTCTCCTTAATTGCATTATTTCTTCTTCCGCGTCCTCCTCGTCCCCTGTGTACTCCTCCTGCCCCCCCTCCTTTTCCCAAGATAACACCAACGCAATCCTTCTTTCCACTTTATGCTCCCCGACTTCTCTGATCAAGGCAACTCGCCAGGGCAAAGTTGCTTGACGGGCTGGTGTGGATGCGCGGGGCTTGAAGAGGTCGTTGCGGGCTCAGACGGCATGCAGAAATCCGTCGCCGCGCTTGTGCGGCATTGGTTTGTTCAGTGAACGTGGTTTGGGTCGCGGGTGGGTCGCGGGATCTTCACCTCCACCTGGAAGGAATGCAGAAGCAGCCCGCCGCAGGCGCCGAAAAATTTGGTTTGTACACTGAACGTGGTTTGGGTCGCGGGTGGGCCGCGGGTTCTCCACCAGGAACGAATGCAAAAGATGCCCGCCGCAGGCGCCGAAAAATTTGGTTCATACTCTGAATGTGGTCGCGGGTGGGCCGCGGGTTTCCCACCTGAAACGGATGCAAAAAATGCCCGCCGCAGGCGCCGAAAAACTCGGCTTGTACCCTGAACACGGTTTGGGTCGCAGGTTGGTCGCGAGTTGGTCGCGGGGTGGGTCGCGGGCTCTCCACCTGGAAGGAATGCAGAAAAAAACCGCCGCAGGCGCCGAAAATGGTGGTTGGTATTTTGAACGTGGTTTGGGTCGAAAGTGGGTCGCGGGTGGGTCGCGGGGTGGGTCGCGGGTGGGTCGCGGGTGGGTCGCGAGTGGATCGCGGGTGGGTCGCCGGGTGGGCCGCGGGCGGGTCGCGGGGTGGGTCGCGGGTGAGTCGCAGGTGGGTCGCGGGTGGGTCGCGGGGTGGGTCGTGGGGTGGGCCGCGGGGTGAGTCGCGGGGGGGTCGCGGGGGGTCGCAGGTGGGTCGCGGGGTGGGTCGCGGGGTGGGTCGCGGGGTGGGTCGCGGGGTGGGTCGCGGTTGGGTCGCGGGTGGGTCGCGGGTGGGTCGCGGGGTGGGTCGCGGGGTGGGTCGCGGGTGGGTCGCGGGACGGGTTGCGGGTGGGACGACGACAACAAACAACAACAAGAGCAACAGCAACAGCAACAACAACAACAAGAGCAACAGCAACAAACAACAAACAACAAACAACAAACAACAAACAACAAACAACAAACACAACAACAACAACAACAACAACAACAACAACAACAACAACAACAACCACAACCACAACCACAACCACAACCACAACCACAACCACAACCACAACCACAACCACAACCACAACCACAACCACAACCACAACCAACAACAACACCAACAACAACAACAACAACACTAATCCGCACCGCGGAATCCCATTTCAGCCACGCACCCAAGGACAATGAATGGCCGTTCGGCCCCCTCACTCTGATTTTTTCGGGGGGACATACCTCGTGGCCGGACCATATACGTTGCCTTTTTGTGCGCGACGCCTGGATACCACACAACCATTTACTTCACATCCATGTTGATATGCGGTATTGAAAACACTTCACATGCGTGACCACGCACACACACACACACACATTCTGCACACGGAAGGGGCAGCCCCCTTTGCATACGTTTTACTGTGAGCAATTGACGCTCCACCCTCAAAGATGCTTTCGGCTCGGATAAGGGACAGGACGCTGCACGTGCTCATTGGACATACCAAAACGCATGTACGGTCACCAAATGGACGCTACACGCGTACGTAAGAAGGTGACATACACGGCTCATGTACATATTTGGCATGTTATATAATGGACAACGTACATATCAGAATGACGTGGTTGTTTGTTTGTGCCGTGACGCGTAGCCTTCTCAGCAGTAACCGACCGCGGACGATAGGAGATGGTGTACTTATCATTGTGTCGCTGATATACGTTGCCCAATGCCAAGCCGATTGCACCACGCCGTTGCCCATTTTGGTTCCAACACAATCCTGTACTATGCTGCCTCGACAAGCACCAGAATACGACCACCAGACACAACACACGCACAACACGACGTCCGACAAAACTGCACGTCCAGCACCAAGTACGCAGCAAGTACACAGACGACCAGCACTGCGACCCGAAACTCCACGAGAGCATCGATTACAAGTCCCAGACCCTGCACGGGAGCCAACAAAGGCACACATGGTGGAGAGGCAAGGCTACAGCACGAGGGCAGCACACGCACAACGCGACGTCCAGCAAGACTGCGCACCCAGCACCATATACGCAGCAAGCACACGGACGACCAGCATTGCGACCAGAAGCCCCACGACAGCATCAACCACGAGCCTCACGCCCTGCGCGGGAGCCGACGAGGGCACGCTTGGGGGAGAG